AATGAACAAATGCTAATGATTTCAATGTAATTTCTTAAATGGGTTTAATAGGAGGTCTGACTATAAAGCGCCCAGCTTGTTTGCTCATTTGGAAGAACATTGCTGCCATCTCCCAGTCACCAGGGCCCATGAACTTTTCTTCATTCATAACTCCCCTGGCAGTGTAGGGTCTGCTGTGTGGGCTTTCCACTTTCCTCCCAGATCCAGTGCCCTGAACACCAGCTAATCCCATTCAGTGTGTCAAAGAGACAGAAAGGGCAAGTGGGCAAACTTTAACGAAATGTTCCTTCCTTTAACAGAACAATAAAAACCAATTAGTCATTTTAATTTGGGTCTACAGTTATTTTGACTTTTGTTCTCTCCCACACCATCTTTCAGCAGCAGGGTTTGAATTGTAAAGATTATAAAAGAATGGCTGAATCACCAAAAGACTATTTATTATCCTTGATTTTTTTTTTACCAGAACACTAATTTCATCATTTTCAAAGATTTAATCCTGCATTTTCAATACCCATTTAATATGCAGGAGGATTCACTTACTAACAAGCAAAAGTTAATTGGATCAATACAAAATAGATTCTACTGCTACCTCTCAACTCCTAATTTTATTGTAGTTACTAAAATTTCAGTGGTATTAGCACATTTAGTGCTGTTAGAAAGCAGGCATGCTATAATATTATGTCAAGCCCACTGACCACTCAAAATATAGGGGCATTATTTTTAAAAATGGAGAGATACATATGATATGCGTTTCTCTAGGTACATGTGCCATTATTGCAAAAGACAAGAGCCAGTTTTGGCACAACTTTACAGAAACAAATCTTTGAAGTTTTATGGTGCATATGAGGCACTTGGGGATCATCTTGAAATGCAAATTTCAATTCAGTATGACAGGAATGGGATTCAAGTCTACATTTCTAACAAATTCCCAGGAGGCACCCACACTGCTCCTCCACAGACCACACTTGAGTAACAAGGGTCTTTGAATTTAATTACAAAATGCGAAAAAAGTTTGGCACTTGAGATCTGGCCTTAAAGCGTATCTAATCTAGCTTGCAAAATAACAGCAAAGTAAAAGGAGCAAGATATGGGTTTATCTACCTCAGAAACAAGGCGTCTCCTAATGAATCTCTCCACATTTAGCTTTGCTATCATGGTCCAGTCATTTTAAGTCAGATGCTGCACATGGTAACATTACTGCCAGTGAGATATATCCCTTTGTGTAGGCTTAGTTAGGATGATTCATTAGTAACTCTATCTTCCAAGTACATACGTAGACATTATTATGATAGATGCAATTGTTGGAGTTTGGTACACATTACAAATTCATCTTCTGAGTTGTTTTTACATAATTCTAATATTAAAATGAAAACTATAAAATCCTGTGAAAGGTAAAATAAAGTAGTTAGATGTTTGGCAGAAATTTCCATTTTTATTCAGATATCCCTGGCATCAAAGTAGATAATAGCTGTTGTCACTTGTCTTTGTTCCCCCCAAAAAATCACACTCTTTCCTAACTCTGGTGTCTGGTTACTTTGCCTTCTGTTAGTTTACCATAATGATTCCCTGAAGAGAACAGAGATTATGCTGAGATGTTTCTCTAGGGTTACTGCAGTAACAGAATAATAAAAGCTCTATACTTTTTTCTTTTAAGATCTCTTAAAGGGCTGGGGTTGTGGCTCAGTGGTAGAGCTCTTGCCTAGCATGTGTGAGGCACTAGTTTGATCCCCAACACCACATAAAAAAACTAAATAAACAGAATAAAGGTGTTGTGTCCATCTACAATTAAAAATAATTTTTTAAAAAGAGATATCTTAAAAACAACCAAATTTGCAAAAATGAATTACTACAAATATATTATGACTCAGTTTTTTGTTATATGTATATTGCACAAATGTTTAGGGTTCATCAGAAAACAGTTCACACCTGCCCATTTTCCCCCTGGTATATCTACTTGAATATGAAAAGTTTCTTTTTGTACCAAAACATCAAATTACTTGAGCTAATATACTAGATTTGGACAAACATTTAGTCTATCCAAATAGGATATACATAAAAAGCTAGATGGTTCTGTGAACCAATAGTATCCTAAGATATTGACACTTGAACTGATAATCAACCAAGTGACTTTGCCTACAAAGCTCATGTTTATAGGAATTGAAGGACATTTTCACCATAGAGAAGATTAAAGTTTAAACTTGAGGAGGGTGGTGTTAACGTTGGACATTAGATGCAAACTCTTAAATAAGAGTAATTGTGGAATCTCTGTACATGTTTTTAAAGAAGTCTAAACAGATTGACCTTTCTGATATGGTAAATGTCTTTGTATCAGGAAGCTGAAGTATAGGTTCATTGGCCCCTTGTACAGCACTCCCACATACTAAGGTGTCAATAAATATGAATGAACCAATGAATGGATTTTCCAATTAATGAATGGAAAGCTATTAGAGAGAAGCAGCTCTAACACTCTGAATTTCTACGTAAGCAAACCAAAATCCAACTTGATGTATACAGTCATAGTTTAGGAAAACAAAATTAAGCTTAGCCAATCAGAAACCAATGGACTTTCCATTGTAATGATCCAAATAAGGGCACTGCTACACTTTAACCAAATAATTTCTTTTCTGTGCCAGCACATTCACCCATAAAAGCCTTCCTTTCAACTATTGCTGGCAATGTCCCCAATTGCCCAATTCATGAATAGCTGCTTGCTCAAATAAACTCTTCAAAATTTTAATGTGCCTCAGTTTATCTTTTAAAATAATGAATGACTATAGAGAAGAAATACTTCACAGAGACAATCTTCCATCCCTGAGATTTTATGGATGTGGGAGCAACTAAATGAGTTACTTGGGTTTAAAAAGAAGGTATGCTAAGTTTTATCTTCAACTCTAGGTAGTTGCCAGGCTAATTCAAATGCTTTCATGGTCATTGGCTTCTTGAATCTACTGTTAGATAATAATTAATATATAATAGATTAGAAAGCTTTTACTTCACTGTTACTTCAAATATTTCTAGCACTTTGAAATCAAAATGTCAGAATTTCCCCAAGATGTTTAGACCAACAAGCCAGTATAAAAAATTATCCTCTTTTAAATTTGTAGCACTTGAGGTTTCTGGAAATCAGCATTCATCTTTTCTGGACTGGAAAAAAATCTATTTACATATTCATGTGTATAGTTGCTTATAATTTACCACCCTTTGCATATATTCAGTCCTCAGCAGCCCTGTTAGGCAGATATCTGCCTTATTTCAAAAGTGAGAAAGGAGGGAGTTTATACATTCACCCCAGAGAGTAGTGACACTGTGAGATGGAACAAGCATTTCTACCTGCTGAATTCTGGTCCTGTTTCTGTCCTATAAAACAAGAACTGTATTGTCCTTTATAATTTACAACATTTGTGAACACGATCAATCTTTAGGATAAAACAGTGAGTTTATTATGCAGAGGATAGTCACGAAAAAGCTGAAATCTGATGAAACAAAATTGTCCAAGGTTAACTATTGGTGGAGTCTAATAGAAATGCATGCCTCCTGCCTACAAGTCTTGGTCCACTTGCTTTGTTGTTTTAGGACCTCAGATGCATTGAATTAGATTAATCACTTTTTGGTTCATTTCCCATTCTCTTCACTGGTCCTTGCATGGTTCTGTTTTATTTAGTTACATAATTATTTTTTTAAAAGGGTAGTAAGTGTCCTGCGAATCACCAACATGAAAGCTAAGATGTTGACAATTAACCTTCATGTAAAATATTTCTTCATCCCTTGCCCCTGCCTTCCCTCACCTGGCATCATCAAAATTTTGAATACTATATCAGTTATTTTCCTGCTTTCTTTTTCATGTAGTCATATGAATACATGTGACTATATGAATACATATTTATATTCCTAGGGAGTTTATAGTTTCATGTTTTTAGCTTTGTGAAAATTATATCATGCCATAGGTAGTATTTTAGGGATTGTATTATGCTGTCCATAATTTGGGAGGCATATTGTAGGAATGGAGATCCTTCTGCTAACCAAACTAATCACAGTTCACACACAGGGTTCATACACCAGCTCTTTGTGTACATGTGTGCACCTATAAACATTCAATGTATAAATTACATCAAACTCTCCAGTCTCTTCGACTTAAGAAATATTTAAATGCACTCCACCTATTATATGGTAAAACTCGTTCAACAAATATTTATTGAGTGCCTACGATGTGCCAAGGGATACATCAGTGCCAAAACAGTTCAATCTTTTCTTTCTCCATTCCCCTCCCCCAAATACCTGATCTCATAGAAATAACATTGTATAGGATAGACAATAAATAAAAATAAAAACGGAAAATATAGAGGATTGGGGGTGATTTTAAGTGCTTGGGAGTAAAAACCGAGTGTGTAAGGCCCTTGAATACTGGGGTTTGGCATTTTAAACAGAATGCTCAGCTATTAACTGGAGGTGGGACGGAAGAATCCTTATTCAGAGGGTGATATGAAGGTAACTTGCCAGAGAGCTGAATCAGAACCAAGTAAACTCTTCGGAACCTCCTCACGTTTAACCTATTGTGTCTGCAGGATACGGGATCAGACGATAAGTATGTCCCCCCCAGAGAGATAATTCATTTTCTCCCACGTTTCTTCCAGCTGGTGGTCCCCTCCATTAAGAATCGCCCTCGAAGCCCAGGCCACACCTGGACTCCACGAGCCAAGCGCTTAACACTAGCGGGACCAACGCTCGCGCGCACTTTGCTGAGCCCCCGCGCGCGCACCCCTGAGCACGCGCGCGGGAGAGCGCGCACCGCCCAGGGTCGCCCTCGGGCCGCTCCCGGCCCCACCGCGAACGCGCGCGCGTGCCTAGCCCGCGGCTCTCGCCAGGGACGCGGCCGGGAGGGTGGCGCGCACCCCTCTCGGCGGCTGCGGCGGTGGCTGGTGTGGGCGCTCACGTCAGGGCTGGGAGGAGGAGGGGGTTCGCGGGGAAGAGAGTGAGAGACATGAGGCAGCCTAGCAGGAAGCGAGAAAGAGTTCGGTGGAGGAGTGAGTTTTAGAGGCGCCCGGCAAGCAGGACCTGCGCCTGCTGGAGAGCGTGGCCGACTGGGCTCCTCGCCTCCTCCTCGCTCTGCTGTGTCCGCTTTCAGCACCCCGAGTGGAGAACAGTTCCCGGCAGCCCGCAGCGCTGCCAAGGGGCCGCCGGCAAGCCAGGGTATCTGAGCCTTCGAGGGGGGTCAGAGGGACCCTCTGAGAACCCAGTGTGCACTCCACCGTCTCCCCTATTTGGTGTGCAAGTAAACCCGGGGGGAAAGCATCCGGCGGCCTCAGGGAGCCCTGAAGAAGCCGAAGCAGAATGTACCAGGGACACATGCAGGTAAGATATTTCCGTGCTGCTGGAAAGAAACCTTGGAGCTAATTTAAGAGCAAGGTGGTTCACCAAGTTACTATGGTTAAGTACTGCCTTCACACAACTCAACAAGTGAAGTGGTGCAACATGACCATGGCATTTCTGTCGGGTGCTGTCAGTAGAATTAGACAGTTTTCTGAGGGTGGGATAGGGGAGGAAAGACCTTGGAACTTCGATTGGGGAAGTTTGTTTTCTGTGCATTCCCTGAGCCTGTTCCTTTAAACAGGATCAAGGAATCCAAACAGAGGAAACCCTGGAGATGACCGTGTTTCCGTTGTAATCCTATTGATGCATCTCGGCATGTATGTCAACTGAAGGGCAAACAATAATAGGAAAGACAAAGCTTTTTCTTTGCCCATCTGCAAAGGTTTCTTGAGAGTTAGAACACTTTACCACTTTCGCATGATTTTTTTAAATGCTATTTTTAAAAAATGGTTTATGCTATATTTTCCCCCTTCAGACCATGGGATGTTGTCACCTATCCCATTAGTCACAGGATGATTTGAGAGAATGAATTTCTAGCATGTGTCCAAGAGGCTCTAATGTTTTTCAGGGGAGGTGCTTCTCCTGCTTGTTATTAATGCTCATCTGAGCTGAAGCTCTGCTTCTTTCAGATGCAAGCACTCTACTCTTTTGGGCAAGATTACTTTAACCTTGACTCCAGTTCTCATTCACACAATTGGTTCCTCCTTATAAAGGCAGATGTATGCTCTGGGAGAAAAAAAATGAAATACTAACTCAGCTTCCTCAAGTATGAACTGAGCTCTTTTTGTTGTCCCTAAATGCTTTAGTCATCAGGTTTGATGTTTGGGTTTCTTTTCCACTCCAAAGATGTTCAAATACAATCATCATATGAAATGCCTTCATCCTGGTGTGCAGCCTGTGAATACCTAGGATGCTGCTTCTGTGTCTTTTAGAGCAATTGGAAATAGATAAATAAATATGTGCTTGCATTCATGACTTAATGTTACTCAATATTCAATTTCTAGGTCTTGGGAAAATTCTTTTGAACTATAATTTACTTTTGTGTAGTGCACAGTATGGTATCATATTCCTAAGTTTGGTAAGAATTCTGAATCGGCACTACCAGAATTCCAAAAGCATTTCTCATAGTACTGACATTCTGGTTTGAAAATTAATGAAATTATATCACATTAATGGATAATAATTAGTGACTGAAATATATTTATAACTATATGGTAAATGTGCTCTACATGTTTCTTATAAGTGCTATACTAATTGGAAAGTTCAGGATCAAAGAAGCTTTCAACTAACTGATGACTGCTGAAAAAATTAACAAAGGATTATTACTCCAATTTTATGTTTCATTTTCACCCAAGAATGATACTTAAATTTTTATTTATTATCTATTTATTCATCCTAAACAGCTTCTTCATGAGGGTAAAGTAGGAAAGTTTTAATAAATAGTCTATTCTAGAAAATTGCTCATCCACAGAAAGTTCATAGTTGACAACTTAGTGCAATTTATAAAAACTTTCTACAATATTTTCGTTTGAAAAAAATATGTTATTGTGAATGAAGAATCAAAGCAACACTCTGGTAATTTCATGCCCCCCCCATCCCCAAACAATTATAACTCGGTTTTCTGAATAGTTCATGGAAGGGTGTTGTTGAAACTTGAATTGTCTAGAACAATTATCTGAGGGTTGAATTTCAATTTGAGAGAATAGAAAAAATAAAACTCTGCATATGCTCCCAACTTGATGTTCCTTGCTTGTGCACTGCTGTAACAGCAAATATGATGGCTGGCAGTAAAACTCCAAAATCTTTTCTGCCAAGCCTAACTTGAAAATGGAACTAAATAAAGAATGTCATCAATATAGTTGCCAAAATTTCAAAGCTCAATACTTTTTCCCTCTTTACTATTGGCCACTAGTGTTAAACTTAAAATTTCCAAGGCTGTAATAGGTATGCTTAGTAAGTATTCAATGATATGATCTGAATTGGAATTCTTCTCACCCAAAAAACCACCCATTACAACCCAAATTATGGTGAACTTTTGTTTACATGTTACACACCAAATCTCTTTCTCAAAGAATATTATTTAGCCAGTAGATGAAATTTCCACTGTGTTGGTATATTCAGATTAGATAAAGAATGGCTCCTTCTCAGAGATACCATTATTCTGTGTGTACCTGACTCTGAACACAGATGAGAAGAAACAGTCCAAACACTCCAATTATGTGTTAAAATCTGAACACACATTTGGTGAAGTAGACTAAGGATGAGCAAAATTTCCTAACATTTCTTCCAACTTTGGAGTTATTTCCAACACTGGTGTTACTTGGCTGATACCTTAAAACAGGAGTGAAACAGAAAATGTTTACAATCATTTGCTATGCCTTTTAATTCTCTTTTTTGTACCCAAGTTTATTTCAAAATAAAGCACTTTGGGAGTGGGAGGAGGTGTTCCCATGAAGCCCTTAAAATATTCTAATTTAAAACTCTTGTGGTACCTTTGTTTTTGCAACTTAATGATTTTGCACATGAGGTCTACTCATTGTGATATGCAGAGCTAATACGTCTAGTTTGTGGTAGAACCTAAATTCATTTTAGAAGCCAGAGGCTTAAAAAAGCAAACATTTGGTTTGTTCTGATAGTTCATTAGAAGATAAAAATTGGCATCTATTGCAAATAGATAGTGCATAAAATGGTAGCATATATTTCTTGGTTTCATGGTAAATGCCACAAGTATATTTCTTAGTTACGGGGCCCTAGAGCTGTGTTGTTTTCCAACCATCTTGCCAATTTTCTCCCAGGGGAATTAATCACCCCAGCAACTTAAGCAAAGGTGGTTTCTTTAGTGCCTGTTTAGGTTGCTTCTTTTCCCTTTGACCAAGGAAGCCAGTGGTGATTAAACATACTTTAACATTTATTCTGACAAACAGTTTTATTACTCATAGATGACTTATGGTCTTAAGCCCAATAATACCTCTGTGTGCTCAGTGCTAAGTTGTTTATTTGTATGTGTTCATTTGAGTTAACACTGCCAATTAGAGCAAAGTTGTTACCTGTCTCTGAATATTTCATTAATCAAACTTGATTTTTTTCTGGGGTAGTATAAATATAGAGCAATATCATTTCAATTTTGAACTAAGTTTTTTTTTATTGTTAATGAAGCATCCATAGTAATTTCTGTTTTGCCATAAAAGAAAGTTATTTCAGAAGGCAATCAAAAAAAATCTGTTTGTGATTTTAACTGATCTTTATCATAGGTATGGAAAACAGATTTTTTTTTCTTATTCAGGCCATATGAGGAATCAGTACACTCCTTCTAGCTTCACAAGATATCTAAGCCAAAAATTTTTAAATGATAAAAAGTATAAGGTTATTAACAGCTTTAAAAGGGGTTTGTGCTTGTTTTTATTCATGACTTAAACTTTTTCTTAAAATCTTCACCAAGGGGAACAGCTTAGGTAATATACATTATGTTTACACATTAGATTTGGCCACTGGAGAGTCATTTAGACTCACTGAAAATGATGCACATAAGAAGTAAGGCCAAGGTAAGATTGTGGGATGCTGCTTTTAACATCTTTAAAAACAGCTTTTCATGGTGGAGACCCACAGCAAAACTAAAGCTGATGGTATTTATCCTGAGTACTTCCACCTCTTCAACAGATACATGCCTCCTCCCCACATGCCACCCTTTTCTATCCTATGTCATTTATTAACCCTTTACCAAGGTGTCAATTGCCAACTAATACCAATATATTGCACACGCATACCCACACAACACAGTGATATTTGCATTTTTAGAGGAGAATATTTGTGATTACTTTGGAATGGGGCAAGGTGTGATGTTTTCAGGCAAATGAACAATGCTGGAATTTATTATGTCGTTCGTGCTGGGTGCCCCCCCCCCCAGTTCAAAGGGTACCTGCCTCCCCTCTTCACAAGTCTTCCCACAAGTAATGATGAGCACTAGTACAATGAATTTATTGTCAGGAACATTAACTAGGACTCTATTGAAGGGAATGCATGTACAGTTACGCTGAAGCTCAAAATTATGACAAAAACTCCAGCAAGATCCTGAAGGTGCCTTTCTACATAGTCAGTCACAAGCAAGTCATGTGTGGTACAGGCATAATGTGGAGCCCTTAACATTTAAAAAATACAATCGTTATGGCCTAATATTACAGGATGTTTGATTATCCAGAAAATCTCATTCCCCAGTGACACTCGTCAACAGTTTACATTATATACTCACTCTCAGAAACATAATATGGACTTTATAAGTTTATTTATGACTTACAAATATGCTAAAAATGTGTGCTTGAAAGTAAAAATTCTAGTATATAAATATTTTGACTATAGAATATTTTTTAAAGACTAAAAAAAAAAAGGTTCAAACAGAACTTGTTAATTTTGAAATCCTGAATCTCTAGTATTACCACTGCCAGCCCTGGAAACATTAAGATGTGATGCACTATGCAGTCAAAACATCTGGCAGGCTGGGTTGTTTTTTTTTTTTTTTTTTTTTTTTTCTTGCTTTTTATTGAGATCACATGTTTTCAACACTGGCATCAGCTAGAGCTGTTTAAAGCTTTTATATTTTAGTTAAATTCTTAATACGTTTTTAGAATAACCAGTGTGCAGGTGAGGGTCAACCTATCTACCTTTTCCTTAATAAGAGGCCTAAGTACAATCTGAATCTCTGGAACCTCTAAAAAAAAAATGACGTAATTTCAAATAGGCTGATAGAGAAAACGGGTTGCCAAGTTTCTAAAATATTTAGCACCTCTTTATAATTCTGGATTTGCAAAAGACAAAATCATCTTGAACTATAGTGTGTAAACTACAAATCAGAGACCCAGGTAACTTGAATGGTGGATTCCATCTCTCACAATGACTCTTTTCTTCACTCTCACCTCACCTGCTTCTACCACACCTCACCTATTATGTACCCTTTCATAAGGATAGCAAATGGTAGCTTTCCTTTCCTA